ATAAGCTTTTTCGTACTCTAGTCCATCCTCTATTGCCATACGCTCCAGAAGCAAACCATCTAGGCAGGTCTCATGCTATCCTTTCCCCTTCCCCTATCCTTCCCTATCTCTTTTTCTTTCTGAGCTTAATCCTACTTCTTTCGTGAATCTACCCTTTACTATTTCTACCCCTTAACTAGTTTTTTGCTTTCTTTAGTTATCCCCAGTTATTCTAACAATATGGATTTCTCTACACTCTACCTTTTTTCACCAACTCATTCTCCACCCTCTACCCCAAAAAGCATCAACACCCCCCCCCCCCCCCCAAAAAAAAAAAACCTTAGATCACTTTTCTTCTTTGCTTTCTTTCTTCTTATCCCCTTTTGCTTAGACCTTCCTTCTCCTCTCTTTACCCCTTTCTCAAGACACTTCATTCTAACTAAACTCCTCAAACTTATCACTAGCTAGTGCTTGCAATGATGCACCAAACAATTGCTCCAACCAGGTGCTTTTAGAATTATTGGCTTCCTCACAAATATAAAATCCTCTCTTGTAATAACCTCAGAGATCTTCGATTACCAGCACAAATTTAGAGCCATTTGGAACGAACTCCTTCAAGAAATCAGAGATAATCCTCCCAGTACCTACCTAGCCTAGAAGCTTTTTGCATTGGAGAGCTTTTTATCCATCTTTCAATTTCCTCGCATTCTGATCATGGAATTAGTAGGCCTAGAGATATCATATCTAAACACCTAGATGCTCTCCCTCTAACCACCACGCATTTATATCACTAGGAACCCAACCTTGGCTATGATTAAAGTTGCTCGTCTCTAAGGCCACAAACTGATCATGGAGTAGATGACCATGGACTTTGTCCTCTTTCGGATGCAAAGCTTGTACTCAAATCTATGGCATTTAAAGATATCCATGCTAGAGATGGCAAATCTCATGGCTCACAGGGTAACAAACACAACATACGAGTCTTACCTGCTAGTAAACCATCTAATTAGAGTAGAAAGACAACTTAACAACAAGCACATGGTTTTTGCTTTAGCCATTCACCTTGTCAGCCACCTACACATGTATATTGGATCCTCAAGCTAGCTAGGAATAAAGACAAGGGGGATGGACATGGAACCAGCTTAGGAGAAGATTGTAAAAATGTGGAAGAAAGCAAATTGGGCCCCCAATGATTGGTGCCCACTAGACTTGCAGCTTAGCTTAAACATCTTTGTAGACTTCTCTAAACCCAACTCGATGTTGATACTTTACTGGAATGTTAGGGGCATAAGAAATCCAACATTTCTATGTAATGCCCATGACTTAACTTATTGTTTTGGTCCTATCATTCTTGTCTTCTTTGAAACCTGTGTGAATTGTGATTGTGTTGAAACTATTATGCATTAGGTGGGGGTTGATTATGATAGTTATTATGCTGTTGATCCGATTGGATACAGTGGTGGAATATGGATACTTTGGTGCTTCAGTAAGGTTTAAGTCTTCATCATCTCAGCTACTGCTCAAAAGATCCATGTTATGATCGTTGATCTTTTAGTTTGTGGTTGAGGAGACCTCTCTTATGCATGCTTATTGTGAAGCAAATAGTGTGGTAGATAGAGTCACCAAGGATCGTGCATCTATAAAGAAACCTTTTGTTCTTTTGATGTTGTTCTTGTTTTTTATTCAACTTGTTTATCTCATGTTTTTTATGTTTGTATTGTGTATCGAATCAACTTTTGTAAATTTATTTAGTTTTTATCTATGAATGACTTTCCATTTTCAAAAAAAGGAAAAAAAAAAAAGAAAAAACAAAGAGTTTCGTTTTGAAATGGCAACTTTACCTTTGCCTTTTTCTATTGAAACCATGTATTATGCATGCTTGATGGTTTCATTTTGATATAAGATGCTTGATCAAATTCTAAATATGATACTCCGATTTTTTTAATTTATAAACTAAATCTATTTCGTTTGCCATGGTGGCTTGTATTTTGATTTTGCCAGCCAATAAAGTTAGTAACATTGGCCATGTCTACACAACATGCTCTTTGATTTTTACCGGCCAAAGGGGTTAATAGCTTTGGTTACATTGACATGTTTATTATGATAAGCTAGCTAGCTTCCAATATTTTGTTTGTTATGCACTCTTTATAGGTGTTATGATTATGTTACGGTATACATCTATAATAGTAGAACTTTTGATTTGATGAGACTTTGTTCACACATTCGAACATAATTATGTGTCATGAACTTATTTTCCATACTAAGTTGTGCTCATGCCTGCAAAGTAATATTTTCAAGTACTAACTAGAGGTAGGATGATGGGGTACACGGGGATAGACATATCTTTTGACTAGTTTTAGCTTGATTATGGATTTAGAGATTGCTGTAACACAGTTTGGATTTTATGAGTTTCACTATTTGATGTTTGTTAATATCTTGATGTTTCTTTGTGTTTTGAAAAATTAAGGGATATATTCATTAAGTGATATGGTTTATGAGTTAAAATGTTCAATATGAGATATTTAAATAAATGGAGCTTATTGTGCATTTTGAAAATTAATCTTATAATGAATTATTATTTCAAGTTTAATTGATTTCAAGTAATGAAACTTAATTGGATTTTATTCTAGAGTTATATAAGATTTGACATTTTGTTAGCAAGATTTGAGCCTTGCACATTTATAAAGTTTATGTATGGGCATTTGCATGCTCTTGTTTTTGAGGCATGACACATCTAAGTTAAAATTAATTAGCAATAGGGATAGAGTAGTCTTTGTATTTTAAGTCACACATGTTTCTTGTTATATTTCGAAGTAGAATGTACCACTTAACACATCGCCTCACATGCAAGCTTGGTATGAACGTCAAGTTCTATCATATGACCTATAAATTTTATATTATTGTTATATGGTAGATTTAGGATTTCTTGGTCAATAAGTTACCTAAGCTCCTATATTTTCGTTCATCACATGTCACCTCATGGTGGGTGAGATTTCTGTACCAAAGGTGTGTCTTTACTACACAATTATAGGTTTGTTAATAAAACATATTTGTATTAGAAAGTAATATTGTCAGATTCTTACGAGGAGTACAAATTTAATTCTTAATAGGAGTTACCATGTATTCTCACGTGGGTCTTAAAATTCTTTGCAAATTAAGCTGAAGTCAAATTAGAAGCAAAGCTAAATCCTTCTATAACTCAAATAACTCAAATCCAAGCTTTGTTAGGATTGTTCGTATTTGCCTTGAGCAATTCATGTCTACCATCCCAAAATATTTCAGATTAAATTGCCAACAATAAAAGACATTTGTGAGGGGAGATAATGAAAACATTTTTTTTTTTATAATTTCAAAATAACTATGGATTTTTCACTTAAATTTTGTTTTAAATTATTTTTTTATTTTTTAATTTTTTTTAAAAGATAAATATATATTTTTTACTTTAATTCTATCATTACGATAAATTTGTCTTAAATTTTGGTCCTAAAAATTAGTTCTAATTATTATTAACTTTTTTTTAATAATAAACAACTTTATAAGGAATAATTAAAGATTTTGAAGTAAAGTTGAATACTAAGTTTTATAGAGCTTCAATCTACTTAATAGGTGTATTCTTTAAAAATTAATTGAGTATTTATTTGAAAATTTTAGAGATTTTTGAAAAAAAATTTATTGTTATAGTAACTTTATGTATGTAAAATAAATAATTTATAATTATAATATCACGTAAAATTATAAATTTATAATTCTAACGTGATATTAAATAAATATAATATGATATTAAATAAATAAATATATATAATATTATAATAAACTCTTAAATAAAAAAGTTAAGTAAATAGTATAATATATTATAAACTTATAATATCATATAATATTATAATTATAATATTTTCAATTAAAACAAAAGAAGGCATACCTTATGTGAGAACATTTCCTCCGAAAAAGGACTGAGGGTTAGGAAATGAAAAGCATTTTTTCTTCTCTAACAAGCTAGTTGGGCTTAAGATTCACTTTTAAACTTGATACTTTACTTTAACTTATTATTTTTTATTAAAATTTAAAATAATCTGAGACTTAAACTAACTCAAATTGTCTATTTAATTTGTTAAAATTATAAAATAATAATCAATACGAGTCATGTAAGATTAAAGGTGGTCACTTGTACATTGTATGTCCCTTGTTGCTTCTTTCTTGATATTTTTGAGATTTTCTTTACCAAAAAAAAATATTCTTATAGAAATAATAGTGGGAAATTAGAACATATACTAAATGAACTCAGACTCGAGCACCATCGTGCCAGTGAGCCTTTGAGGTGAAGCGATGAGCATTAGCTCTTTCTGAACCCAGTCATCTCAGCCAATGAATTTATAATTTCAACATTTATAAATACGAGAAGCATGGAACATCGTTCATTTAAATAAATATAGGGTGATCGCACTTAGTCTTTGAGTTGAGTAACATTAATCACATTACAAAAAAAAAAATACAGTCCTCTCTTTCTTTGGGTTTAAGTTCGATTTCACTTTATGTTAACATGTTCAAAATAAATAAATAAATATAAAGCAGTGCTAGGGGCATTCGCCTCCTGCACTCTCCGGCCAACACTCTCATTTTGATTGGACCACGTTATTTTGATTTAAGAGGTTGCGTTCCAAAACCACCGAAGCAAGCTTACGTGACCCAATGAAAGTGGAAGTGTGGCCGGAGAGCGCAGGAGGCGAGTGCCCCTAGCACTACCCAATAAATATATGGTGATTGGAAACTGCTTTGTGCGTTAGTGACTACTAATAAAGGTTTTTTCCTCCAAACTTAAAATGTATAATTCTAGTCGCACCTAAATATTAGAAAAAAAAACAAGTTCGATCCAATGACATTGACATTAAGTTATTATCACTCTTTATGAATTATATGTTTAAAATCTTATAAAATTTTTTTTCTCATCTTTAATTCAGATTTATAATTTATTAATATCTATTAAAAAAATAACAAATAAATATATGGTGATTGACTGATGGGTGTCACATCTAGCACAAAAGGATCCAGAATAGGAATATGCGCCTCGTCCCCCCTTTGATTTGACGATATCTTTGTTGGAAATTTTTTAGATAAGATTTTCAAACCACCACATATAAACAAACGTACGATAAATTTCTTAATATTTTAATTCGATAATCCCATCCCCACAATGGAATATGCGCCTCATTTCCTTTAGGAAGATTGTATTTTTTAATACGTGTTTGTCTTTTACTACTACTAGTCCACTTTTTATTTGTCGAAGTTTCCCAGATTTTCTTTACAATAACGTTAAGTACAAATATTATTAGATTTGTTTGTACGTACAAATATTATTATATTATTTTTTGTGAACGTCCAAAGTATAATAGTTAAATATTTGAGTATTCTTAGTGAAAATTCAAATTATTAGCTCTCAAATTATAATCTTATGATAGGAGGGGTGGTTATTTTTTATTATATAATTTTTCATTTAATTTTAAGGTTTAGATTTATTATATGAGAAATTTATTATATAATTTGAATTGCAATAAATTAGAAAATAAAAATTATTAAATGAAAAAAAATTTTAATATTAGAGGACTAAATTTTTATTTAATAATTAATATAATACATTCTAATATAATTTATATTACACTACATTTTTTTATTATTATCTTATATTTAAAGTAGCATTTTACAAATTAATTCTTATTTACTTTATTATTTTGAATTAAAAGAGTAATGATTAAGATGTAAATAATTCTACCAATAAAAGCTCAATTGAGTAATTACTGCCTTAAGGATTTTGATATAGAGTTAAGATAAAAAATTTAAATATTTATAATATCAAATAATTAACTATATAATGTACAAAAAAATGTAAATAATTTAC